CTAATATTTACATTATCGGCAATTTGTTCATATGATTATATTTACGAGTACATGTGCTTCAAATAGTGTCATATAGTTTCCCGAAAACTCAAGCGTTTTCTGTAAAAACTAGCTCAAAATTCCTCATTTTCAGAAACGCTCTATCGCCATTTTCTAAAAAAAGCTCCAAATTTATCTTCAAACATTTTTTTGCATTTTTTTTTTCAAAAGTTATACAAACGTACATTTTTTGAAAGATCTCTCACGTCGTTGATACGCACATTTCCAGCAATTTGTAAACACTATTGTATTTGCGAGTTAAATTCATTAAAATGAAGTTTTTCGAAAACCCAAAACTTTTCGGTGAAAAAGAGCTTCAAATGTCGAATTTACAGTAGCTTAAGTGCCTTTTTCTTGAAAATGGCCCCAAATGTATCAAAGAAAATTGCCATTTAGATCGATGTTTTATTGTTCTTTAATAATCTTAAAATAATATTTCTGCTCTACAGTCAGGAAACCTAAAAATTAAGAAAATGCCAAAAAAAGGAATTTGGGCGGTGATAGATGGCAGCTGGCAAGAGTATGTGACAAGTCCTAGTAGCTAGCCGAGACCAAAGGAAATAGAAAACTAATAAAGGGAAGTCTGCTATTCTGTATCACCACTAGTTTTGCTTGGAACTATATGTATTTATGAATGTCTTAATGATTAAAGAATTCATTCATAATTATCATTCAGAATTGTTTACACACTTATTTTAACTTTTAAGTTTTTCATTAACAACTTATTCCCCATATGATATACTGATTTTCCATCAATTTCTCTGCCAAACCGCCCATTAAAATCTTCCAAAAGCATTGTAATATTATCTTTCCTTATTCATTCTATAACTTCGTCAATTTCTTAAAGACTTCAGCTTTTATTTGATTTCTAACTAGTAAAGCAATTCCCTCGTTAAATGATTCAAGTTTGGTAATCTCGTTGCAATGTTTTTGATGTATTACAATCCATATTCCTGATATTGCTGTTTTCTTTACCGACTCCACAATGAAAATGAAGGTGACGTCAAGGTACTCGTCAAGGTGACGGATTCAGATTTATTCAAATTTACCAACTTCACATGAAATACAAATGACAATGAATTGTACAAAAGACGGGATCTATTGCGGGAGCCTTCTGTCCACTGAATTTAACAGTCCATTAGTCCCAACTGGGCAAGTAATGGCTGTCGCGTGTACTCTTTATCTCGACCGGCGGTTACGCTGCTCCGTCTGATGCTCGCCGACGGCATTTGGCGTAGGCTGGGAGGGTCAGTGCCCGTCTGAGTAGCTGCATCGCCAGGGCTGCATGTGTTGCAGATCTTTCCCACCTCTACTAAGCAATTTTCCCAAATAAACTTCAATGACAAAAATTTCCCAACTTGGAAACGAAAAATATTCTCCCCAATTATTGACCAACGATATGAGCTGTCCCTGACAATTCCATTGGCCGTCACCTTATATTCAAATCAACTAAACAATCGTCGTTTGATGTGCTGGACGCCATATTCGTTTTTCTCGTGTTTTTTTCTTTCTCTATGGCCTTCGTTTATTTTTATTTTTTATGTATAAAAATGAGAGAAAATAACGTCTACTGTTTCTTTCTTAATCATAATAATTAAGAACATCGAAACATCGAAAAACATTTGGGGTGAAATTTCTCCCCTATTTTGGAGGCAAAAATTCTCGAACCCGGCAATCCTGAGCTTTGCGTTCCCAAATTTGTCGGCTGCAACCGCCCAGCTCGTTCAGATGACAGGGTTCGTCGGCATGGGGCGGCGTGTGATGCCTTGAGAGAGGAGAGGATATGTAGGTGATAACTTCAAATTCAAAATAAAGATCATTGAAGTAATCTCATTTTAAACACAAAATTATATAAATCATTTTATCTTCCGTACATTTTTTTTGTAAAAGTTAACTAAAGTGTTTTCATTTCTGCAGGCCTTCATTTTTTCAGCTTAGGAAGAATAAGTTGTATTTATGGACGATAAGTATACGATAAAACAGTAATTTGAGAGGTGTGTACAAACATATATGACGCCATAAAGTATCCATACAGATATGAGGAACATATATAGGTATTTTTACAATGAAAAATAGAAGGGTTTTCAAGATAAAAAAGTACTCTTTTCCTCCATATTTTTATTGAAATGCTTCGTATCTTTCGTGGCATAGGAGAATCAACAAAACAGATTGGAAAGTCAATGCTCTTTATACTAGATACTTCCCAATATTGTATTATTGCACTTTGTATTAACTACAATTAAATTGGAAGAACATGATTTCTAAATATGGTGTGGTACGCGTTTTTTTAATATTATCTAAATTACCGTCAAACGGGTCGAGATTGAGCCGTATGGGTGTGTATATGTCATGCTCCATTTCTTGAGATATAAGCATCCCATTGACAGGTATAGGAATTTTGTTGTTTATAACTTGCATAAATAGCTATGCTTTAGTTTTGTTTTGTTTTCTGGATTCAGTGAATGCTGACCGAGTCGAGGTACGTCAGTTCGTGAGGGAGTGAACAGCAAATAGAAAAATATCAACAATACTCAACAAAGCAATTTCTCGCTTCTTATTCACAGACATTCAGTGCGTCACTTGGCACGAAAATGAATCCCTTTTGCAAAGCGAGACTTTGCAGCAGCATCATCATTCCTTCTATTTGTGCAAGACGGAAACATAATTATTTTTTCTTTCAATAGGATGCGCATATCTCAAAAATGGAGTCTGGCATATTCTCTCCCCGTGTGGCACAACTCTCGCCCCCATTTGACGATATGGTTTTTCTGATTATCTCAATCTGCATAACATTTCTGTAACACTATGCACTTCGTTTTTTCTCAGTATGCAGAAATATTATCGTTTTTATTATTATTTAATTTTTGGCAAATGGTTACCTTCCACTTACAAAAACAATCCATGTTGTAATTATCTTACGAATCAAATGGACGGCGCACTTCTATTGACACATGTTTGAGGAGATGACTTGTTTCAGATGAGCAGTCTCGGTATTCCAGATTCCTGTAGACCAGTCTTTGGATTCACCACTGGATGGAATTGTGAGCCAAAAAACGTCTTTCTTGTTTATATACTCCGATTTAAATGTAGTGTCCCTGCAAGGTCACGAGCTGGAAGGAGAGGGGACAGTGTCAGCCAATCGGGAGCGACAACTCAAGAGGCATCAGCGGCGGCTGAGTGGTCGTTGCCCCCTTCCGTTTGCCAGAGAGCCTCGAACAGGATATGCGAAGTCGGCGCCCGACCCCCGTTAGCCCACGTCACGATTTTCTAGACCTATGAAGACAACACGTTTGCGTAGCTTCTCACCAGATTGAGTGCACCCCGTTCCAGGCCCAATCCGAAGACGAAAACTTCCCGGAATCGCCGAGGAGTTGAGCCCTGGATATGGATCGCAACCAGGCACGCTACGGAGGTGGTCAGTCGGGAGCTTCCTTACGACTTGAATTTGCGCTCCAGAAGCTGCCGATGGGGTGGCAGCGTCCCCTTCCAGCCCGCGCTCTTGGAGGGGCGCTCCATTCAACGGGAGCGCCGTGTCGCGTGCGGGGCTAGGGCGGGGCGGGGGGCGCGCCGTTGCGCTGGGCCTCCTCGTGCATCTGCAGGATGAGGGAGCGCAGCGCGGCGGGGCGCGCGGCCGACATCTGCTGGTGGCGGTTGAAGGCCGAGATGAGCTGCGCCACGCTGAAGCGAGGCTCCTCCTCTTCCTCCTCCTCTTCGTCCTTCTTCTCCTCCTCCTCCTCTCCCTTCGTCCTTTTGACCTCTTCGTTCTTTTTCTTGTTCTTCTCCTCCTCCTCCTCCTCCTCCTGCTGCTTGCGTTGGGCGGGTGGGCGCACTGCCAGGCTCGGAGTGGGCGCGCTCCCGCGCTGGGCTGTGCGGGGTGCGGCGTGAGCGGAGCGTCGGCGTGGCGTCGGCGTGGCGTGGCGGGACGGCAGCGCGGGCGGGCGCCGTCGCACGGCGAGGTCGAGGGGAGCGGCGCGTCGAGGGAGGCCGCGGAGCCGAAGGGCGAGGGCGCGGCGAGACGGCGAAGGGCGAGGCCACTGCGCGGCGCGGAGGTCGGGCTGCGAGGCGTGGTGGAGTGCGGCGGCGGCGGTGCGCGCGGCGAGGCGGCCGCCAGCAGCGGCTGGGGCGGCGGCCCCGCCCCGCCCCGCCCCCGCCCACGCGAACAGCTCCTGCGAGCGCGATAGCGCGCGCCGCCGTACAGCTTCTCACGCGACCGCGACAGAGACACCTACGCCAACACAGACCAGCCCTCTGTGGAGGCGAGATATAAAGAAAAACAATATACTCCGAACAAGTTTCCTAATAATTTAATGCATTATATTTTTTACAAATTCTACAGGCACGACCTGTCATACGACAGAAATTGAGTCTCGTATATCATAATTATTATTTTCTTAAACAGGTTGTAACCGTTACAAAAGTATATATGAAACAATTGACACAGTAAGATGAAAATGAGAAATTAATAGTTAACCGTCAGACACTTGAGTGAAAAAAATGGAGACACAGTGTCTCATCACAGTGTCTGGGGGCACAAGAGGCAGTAGCCTAACCGCGAAGTGAAGAAAGAAGAAGAGAAGAAGAAGAAGAAGAAGAAAAGAAAATTCGTGTTATATGATGTTAATTAATTTAAAATAAAAATTAGTGTCTTAGAATTCTCCCTTTTATTGACATTCATTTCAGAGTGTCTAGTATAAGAAAGTATAAAGTTTAATGTGGTTGCGGACCATATTTTCACTCGAGCGACGCAAGAGTGACTTCCGCGTATTGTTTAAATCGGCAATTGCCCTGAACAGTCAGCCTGAAACATGGGGGGGGGGGCATGCGGGATATTGAGGCCCCGCACCAAGCATAAGCAATTATATAAATTGGGATGATATTGAATTAGGTCACTTACTAGAACCGAATCTTCAACCCGACTTCACGTTGTGGTGCGCGGCACGGGCGAGATCAGTGCTCACCTGGCTCTGCGAGAGGGGCCGCGCGCCGCAGCGCCCCGCTCCGCCCGGCCAGCCAGCGCTCCGCCAGCGCCTCCCGCGACTTGACAGGAAGCGGCCAGCTCGCGCTTGCCGCCTGCCCCCGCCCCCGCGCCTCCGCCCCCGCCCCCGCCGCCGCCCCGCCGCGCCGCGCCCTTGCCGCGTGCCCTGCAGCCACGGGTGCCGCAGGCCCTCCGCCGCGCTCGGCCGCGCGCTGCGCACAAATTAGGAAAACAGTCATAGCATGTAACTGGCTCTAACGACCTCGATCAGTAGAACGCCTCGCTCGCACACCCAACAGCTCGCGCATTAAAATCACGTACAAAATCAAACCTTGTGTGTCCCACTGACTCGATCATTAGAAGCCCATAGCGCCCTGGGCTTCGAAGCAGTACCTGGGGCGCGCACCACCGCTGCGCATTAAAATCACGTACAAAAACCAAACCTTGTGTGTCCCACTGATCTCTATCATTAGAAGCCCATAGCGCCTGCTCTTGCAGTAGTACCTGGGGTCGCGCACCAGCGCTGTGCATTAAAATCACGTACAAAATCAAACCTGTGTGTCCCACTGATCCTCGATCATTAGAACCCATAGCGCCCTGGCTTTGCAGTAGTACCTGGCGTCGCGCACCAGCGCTGCGCGATTAAAATCACGTAAAAATCAAACCTGTGTGTTCCCACTGATCTCGATCATTAGAAAGCCCATAGCGCCCTGGGCTTTGCAGTAGTACTGGGGTCGCGCAACCAGCGTGGCGCCATTAAATCACGTACAAAATCAACCGGTGGTCCAACGCTGATCTCGATCATTAGAAGCCCATAGCGCCCTGGCTTTCAGCAGTACTCGGTCGCGCACACAGCGCTGCGTGCATTAAAATCACCGTACAAAAATCAAACCTGTGTGTCCACCTGATCTGATCATTAGAGCCATAGCGCCCTGGGCTTTGCCAGCAGTACCTGGGGTCGGCGCAACCAGCCCCGCTGGCGCATTAAAAATCACCGTACAAAAACCACAACCTTGTGTGTCCCACTGATCTCTTATCAGTTAGAAGCCATAGCGCCCTGCGGCCTTTGGCAGTACCTGGGTCCGCACAGCCTGGCGCATTAAAACACGTAACAAAACCAAACCTGTGGTCCACCTGATCTCGTACTTGACAAGCCAGCTACGCCCTGGGCTTCGAAGCCAGTACCTGGGGTCGCGGGCACCAGCCGCTGGCGCATTAAAACCACGTACAAAAACCAAACTTGTGTGTCCCCACTATCTCGATCATTAGAAGCCCATAGCGCCCTGGGCTTTGCAGCAGTACCTGGGGTCGCGCTCGAGCAGCGCGCGCACGAAGGCCGTGGCGTGCGCCGAGACGCCGTCGAACAGCTCCTCGGGGAAGTCGAGCTGCGCGCGCGCCACGTTGCAGAACGTCTCCTGGTCCGTCTCGCCGCCGAAGGGCGAGAAGCCCGTCAGCAGCACGTACGCCGTCACGCCCGCGGACCTGCGCCCCACCACACAGGCGCCCGGTGTTTCAGAAGGACCCAGTCCAACGGAAGATCACAGTTTATTGCATTCTTTATCGTCAAAAGCTGTTAAAACCGTATTAGACGTACAACGGGGAAGAAGTTAAAATCTGTATGCGACGTAATTGACGACTGATTACTAGTGATTCCGTACTAAGTCATTAGTCCCGTAAGTGTAGTACATTATTCATTCGTGGGGACAATGCTGTGATCTTCCCCCGCTGGATGGCGAGATCCGAAGCCGACCTAACGTCAACTAACGGGGTTTTCCCCAACCAGGTTTCTCCTACCAGCGGGGCACCCCCGGCCAGGAAAACCACTTGGCTCCCAACTGTTTTTCCGGCATGTGTGGTGGTCTCCTTTATGCAACTCTGATTAGTAGTTATCCGCGTGGTTTCAGGCGAATGCCGAAGCAGTGCCGTAACACACAGGCCACGGACCGCGAGCGATCTTTCCTTACACATCACCCCTTACACATACGTACACTAACATGCATTACACAGCTACACATGCCGGAAGCCCGGTCGGGAGCTTAGAGCTTGCCCAGATTGGGGTGTTGCCCTGCTGGTGGGAGATATCTGGTCGGGGAAACCCCGCTGCCGTCGGTAGGGCTGCGCCGGATCTCACTGCAGCGGGGGAAACGTCACCGCCACCTCTCGAGCAAAGCCATGCACCACACTTGCGGGACTAATGACACTAGGAGTGGAAGTGCCTCAATCATTCCATCCTGAAAGTTGGGTGCACTTCATAGTTCCAGAGGACACTAAAGTATTCACTATACATATATCATTTATTTATTTAACTCAATACAGCTAAAAACTGTATGTGACGTACTACGAGGAAAAGTGTATAATATAATGAAATGTTCAAGGCGACGTTAACTATAAAACTCATTAAGGGGCAGAAATTCTATCCCTGAAGGCAAACCAACAACTCTAAATATTTCTATTTACTTTTTGTGTGGTAATTCACTATTGATTTGATAAGCTTTGAATGCGTACAAATAGCTGAAGATGCCATCCTGACCATAAACAAGAACCCAGAAAATTACGACCTTATTTCAAAACTTATCTTTAAGAAACAGATTTCATTAAGGGAACATTTTTTATCTTTAATATTTTAGTTGTAAGAAGTCGCCGAAAAAATTAAAATTTCGCAATTTTCGAAAAAGTAGGGTTTTTAACGAACATGAGTCTCTTTATCAATCTTTAAGAAACATTAAGGGAAATAATCTCTATCTTCATAATTGTAATGGTAAGAAGACGCAAATAAATAAATTTTTGCAATTTTTGTGTTTCTAACTAAAATGAGACCTGTACCATCCTCTTAAACGTCCTTCACACTATCCAAATGAAAACCGTTGGAGTCATACTTTTGAAAATATCGCAGGGGCTCCATGCCAAACATCTCCCAAAATTAAAATTTCGGTTTCAAATTCAAGGGGTCGTGACACAATTTTGGAGAAAAACGGGCGAACGATTTAGCAGCTAAAGTTGCTCACAGACACAGACGGATGGATAGACACACGTTTTGCCGTCATTCGATTTCTTGGTATCAATGACTCTCAAAACATGGATTCTGGCTACACCACGTGTTAGAGTTTTTGTTTTTAATTTCAGCAACTGAATTTATCTACTTCCTCGTTATGACAGCCCGGCAATTAGAGTTTTCTGCCGAAAGTTCGCCGTTTTCGCGCAGCTAACCCATGTTTCTCCCCCTGCGTCAGCGGCAGCGCGAGAGTCGCGCAGCGAACTCACCACATGTCGGCGGCCAGCGTGATGGGCTCGTAGTGCAGGATTTCA